GGAGACACAGGGTGAGGCAGCTAGGGTGAGGCAGGAGACACAGGGTGAGGCAGGAGACACAGGGTGAGGTAGGAGACACAGGGTGAGGTAGGAGACACAGGGTGAGGCAGGAGACACAGGGTGAGGCAGCCAGGGTGAGGCAGGAGACACAGGGTGCAGGCACAAACATCAGGGAGGGCTCCAGGTGGCTGGCTGCCCGCCTCTTCCACGGGCGTTTCCTTCCTTTATAGTATAAACGGTTGAAAAAATCTCGGGTAAGGTACCTCATTCCTGTCCTCCCCCCCCCCCCCCCTCCTCCGTCGCCCTATACTACGGGATATTTTCCCGTTTTCCCATTTACATTTTTTCCCCATTTTCGTTTTTTCCCACTTTCGTTTCTTCCCATTTTTTTCCTTCTTTTTTGTTGTGCTCTATTTCCCGCTCAACCTTGGCTGGGCGTGATGGAGGCGAGAGCAGCTCTCGCCTTCACCTTTACCAGCCACAAAAAGTGCTGCTTCTCACCACCAAACTGCTAGAAGTATCGCGGAAAACAAGACAGGTTGGCGCGCTCCTCAAGCAGGGCAGCAGAAGCACTACTTTCAAACTGTACGTTTTGTACTGGATAAAGTAGTCAAAGACAGAATTTTCTATTATTTGTTTTTACTATTATTATTTTCTACCACAGACGTGGCCACACATTTACAATGCTAACCAGAATAGATACATTTTCTTCTGTCCTCCATGGACAAGGTGAGAGATGTGTTAAACATATAGTTCAGGGATTTATTGAACAATCAACCAAAGAAGGTGATTATAGTGCTTTTAAAATGCTAATCTAACCTACAGACATAAATACATAGATACACAGATTTACGTCTGTCATACATAAAGTGGTCGATGTGTCTTTTTACATGGTGTCATTAATGTGCATTTACAAAGATGAAATGCAATTCTGACCAGCATCCACATATCCTGTATACACATACATACAGCATACCTCAGCCCAGGAGGGCGAAAGTCAGTTAATATGGGACATTCTACAATATAATGTTCAAGGGAGTGCATGTTTTCTCTTTCACAAAGTTGACCTAGCAGAAGGCTCTCTTCCTACTCTTACATTTCCGCCTGCACCACACTCCGCAGTGGGAAAAATATGTATGTATAAATTACATGATACAAATGAATGTTTTGAAGACATTTTATATGACCAGAAGACTCCTACGTGTATGCAAGATGCCTGTGATCATTTTTGTGAGTCTTACATACCATAAGACTACTTGGGCGATACCGCCTGTTTGTAGCCCTTTTTCTGTCAAGGAATTGTTAATAGTGTCTCCTTGTAAAGTGTCTTAATTCTCGACTCACAATCGGGGATCCCAGGTTCGAGTCCCGGCCCGAAAAGAAATGTTTGGGCACGTTTCCTTTCACCTAATACCACCTGCTCACCTAACAGTAAATAAGTACCCGTGAGTTACGCAACAACTGTGGGGTTGCATCCTAGGAAGGGTCAGTAGTCACCTTAATACAATATATATACATACAAAGGCTTCCTGTCCCCGATAAAACGAATAATTATTAATCTTAGAAATGTCACGTTAATAACCTAGTTGCGCACTCGGTAGTGATTGATGTGTAAGCGATTGGGTCATTTTGTTTGGGAGATATTCCCAGTGGTGTCTGACGTATGGTAAACATTACTGGCCAGAGCCGCAGCTGAGGTGGGCGGGGAGCACTTCCCTCACCCCTTCCCCATCTCCCCCTCCCCATCACCCCCTCCCCATCACCCTCTTCCCCATCACCCCATCACCCTCTTCCCCATCACCCCTTCCCCACCACCCCTTCCCCATCTCCCCCCTCCCCATCACCCCCTCCCCACCACCCCTTCCCCATCTCCCCCTCCCCATCACCCCCTCCCCACCACCCCTTCCCCACCACCCCTTCCCCATCACCCCTTCCCCATCTCCCCCCCTCCCCATCACCCCCTCCCCACCACCCCCTCCCCCCACCCCCCCCCACCACCCCTTCCCCACCACCCCTTCCCCATCACCCCCTCCCCATCACCTCCTCCCCATCCCACCCCCTCCCCACCACCCCTTCCCCACCACCCCTTCCCCATCACCCCTTCCCCATCACCCCCTCCCCACCACCCCTTCCCCACCACCTCCATAACTCCCTACTTGCAACAGAAATATAGAAAACTCGACTGTCATTCCCTCTGTATTTTGCCCACCCACTTGCGCTGGACGGTAGAGCGAAGCTCCTCGTGTCATGCAGGTCGGCGTTCAATCCCCGACCGTCCAAGTGGTTGGGCACCATTCCTTTCCCCCGTATCATCCCCAAATTCTTATCCTAACCCCTTTATAGTCGTAACGGCTTGGCGCTCTCCCCTGATAATTCCCTTCCCTTCCTCTCTTTCCATTCACTTCCCTTTTCCCCTCTCACTTGTTCCTCTCACTTTCCAAGAGCTTTCTCTCCTCTCTCTCCCTTTCTTTTTCTCCATTACCTGCTTCCACTTCCTTGCCCTGTTCCCTGCTGCTGCCCCCCGGCTGGGGGTCTAACTTCTTTTATTTGATAATGGTTGATAATAATATATTCTTTGCTAAAGATAAACATAAGTTATAATTATAGCCTATCCATCAATTATAACCCATTCACATAATAAGTATTTGTATATAAGGTAAACTGTAGTTTACATGCGAAGGTTTCTCTGCTTCAGATAAGGTGCGGGCTTCACTACAACACACTAAAGGGAATATTTTTTCCAACTTGCATTTTGATTCATAAATAAAGTCATCATTTAAATGTAGAATCCCCAAAACATATATTTTATTCAATGCATATTTCATTTGGTTATGATATTTTTTCTACGGAAACTGTTTTATGAGACTCATTCTGGGCTATATATTTAGCCTACCATCTTAGCCTAGCTTACTGGGCTATATTTTAGCATACCATCTTAGCCTAGCCTACTGGGCTATATTTTAGCATACCATCTTAGCCTAGCCTACTGGGCTATATTTTAGCATACCATCTTAGCCTAGCCTACTGGGCTATATTTTAGCATACCATCTTAGCCTAGCCTACTGGGCTATATTTTAGCATACCATCTTAGCCTAGCCTACTGGGCTATATTTTAGCATACCATCTTAGCCTAGCTTACTGGGCTATATTTTAGCATACCATCTTAGCCTAGCCTACTGGGCTATATTTTAGCATACCATCTAAGCCTAGCCTACGGGACTGTTTTTTTAGCATAATTATTTTTAATTTGATTTATATATACAGGAGTTCTTAATAGATATAGACTTAAAAATATAATTAAATTGTAGCTCTCGTACCTAATAAAGGATTTAATTAGATATATCTTCATATCTCCATTTACATTCAGCAGCATCAATAACAAGTTCCCTACAAACACAAAAAGTAACTGATTATATTTTCAGCTTGTTACAACTTGTCATTAATTTATTACATTTTGGTATAACGTTTTGATGATGCATTAGAACGTTGTTACAACTTGCTATATTGGTTGTTACAACTTGTAACAACCAATGTAGCAAAACAGCCTTGCGATATCCAAGCTTAACAATCCCATCTGCATTACTACATAAGCCGATTAAACCACCTAATTTCACGAAAACCTGGCTTACATGTTGGTTTATAGCCTAGTTAATTCCTTTCAGTTGCTTTACACAACACAGTACAGCTCTTGTGTATAAGAGCTGCACATAACAGAGGAATCACACACACACACACACACACACACACACACACACACACACACACATGTGGTGGAGGCTGACTCCATACACAGTTTTAAATGTAGATATGATAGAGCCCAGTAGGCTCAGGAATCTATACACCAGTTGATTGACAGTTGAGAGACGGGCCCAAAGAGCCAGAGCTCAACCCCCGCAAGCACAATTAGGTGATTAGGTGAGTACACACACACACACACACACACCACATATCCTGTGCCAGGCGAGGAGGAAGGGCTCACCATTGCCCAGGCAGCTTGGAGCTGTGTGTTCCCAGCAGCTGAGTGTAAAACAACAACAACAGAGGAATCACTTGGAAACATTACGGTGTGTTCATTCGTGTCAGGGAGTGTGTGGTCCCGTTAGTGTGTCCTTGTGAATGAACCTCGTAGTGTGTGAGTATGTTTAGGTTTGTGTGTGTTGAGTGGCGGGTCCATGTTTGTTAATAACAGTTTTCGTGTCACTTTTCTCTCCTATTGTTATCACTCTCCTTAGAGCGACATCCTCTCTAAAGATGTCTTAAGGAAAAGAAAATGTCTTGGCCGACGGAGGCTTGTTGATATGCTTTAAATCAGGGACAACTATTATATTCCTACACGTGACAAGCACGCTACAGTCCACGCCACGAGAAAACCTATATAAACCAATCTTGTTACCTACTGACCTACATGCAGGTATGAAATTATAATTCCACTGGCATAACACCAAGGTCGCTCCTTAGTGTGACCTCCACCACCTCTCAAGGACAGGTGGGGAGCGAGTATCACAACTCCTACACCTCATGGCCTCTTTCCATTTATAAATTATGTCAAAATAGATAAAAAAAAAAAACTTGTGTAATTTTGGGATGGTATGGTGGTCCCGGCTGCGTACCGCCGAGTATCAGAGAGCAACATCCTCTCTCTCCCACACACAAAACGTTTTCTTCCCACAAGACGGTAACGTTCCTCGGGGTGAACACTCGTCCACATCATTTATCAGCCGGGTGGGTCAACCTGTGCCCCTGGTGCAGGTGAGCAGTGTGCTGGCGCTCATCTCGAGTGGTGTGACACAGTGTCGCATCTGAGGCCACCTTTGTGGAGGTGTGTGACCGGCCGAGGGATGCGTAACGTTCAATACTACCAGCATCGCGCTCAGCACATCTTCAACACCCTCCTACTGGCGCTCACCACATCCACCGCGGTCATTGTCAGCCACCAATGGACGCAGATATTGGCAAGGTCATTCTTACACAACTCTAAACAAAACCCAAAAATAACTAACCTCCTCTCCATTTTCCACGGCATTCTCCGCCATCGCGCTAACCTCTGCTCCAGACACTAGCAGAAACCCAACTGGCAGGCGCATGTACACCCCGCTCGTATAAATGGAGACCCGAGAACTGAGATCAGCAATCGATATCTGGTAAGTGTGGCTGTGGGATCCAGAGCTGCGCCGGGAGCCTCTCCGATCCTCCAAACGCGCGCAGCCGCAGCACAGAAAACGAGCAGATCCTTTTAGTCAAGAGAAAACTCGGGTTGATGTACGAGGGTTTTGGCATTTATGGTGTGAGCCGCGGGCACTTCGAAGATGCGTAGTGACGTAGGAAGGTGTCATGAGATTACGTCCGCTCTCTTGGCTGGAGTCTATTTTCACTCTGTTAATTTATGTAATCTTCGCCGTACACACCAAGAGGGTAAACTTAGCAAAATTGTGTTATCACTCGATATCGCATAATAGTTGTATACGCATAATAGTTCAGGGTATAATAAATCCTGTCATGAGTAATGATCATAATCAACACATCACTCAAGTGACCCAGAACCCATAATCTAACGAGAGAACAATGAATTTAATCATAAATATATACATATTAATTATTACATTAATTAAATTTTCACAATAACACCAACTGACGTCATAGCTCAAGGCTCATGACGTCACGGGCGGGAAAGCTTTCATTGGTTACTGGTAGACCAATCACAGCCCGAGTAATACCATTGTTTACACCTGGCTGCCATTGTTTTGATCCTGAAGGTATCCTTGTGGTTGTTTGTAACGCTATAGTGGTGCTTCAGCTCTATAATAACATAGTTCCTTAGACACTATAGCCAAGCTGGTGGGATAAGGCATTACAAAAATAAACTCTTTCCAAGACCACACACTTTTCCAAGATCACACACCTCCCCAAGACCACACACCTCCCCAAGACCACACACCTCCCCAAGACCACACACTTTTCCAAGATCACACACCTCCCCAAGACCACACACCTCCCCAAGACCACACACTTTTCCAAGATCACACACCTCCCCAAGACCACACACTTTTCCAAGATCACACACCTCCCCAAGACCACACACTTTTCCAAGATCACACACCTCCCCAAGACCACACACCTCCCCCAAGACCCCACACCTCCCCAAGACCACACACCTCCCCCAAGACCCCACACCTCCCCCAAGACCACACACCTCCCCCAAGACCCCACACCTCCCCCAAGACCACACACCTCCCCCAAGACCACACACCTCCCCCAAGACCACACACCTCCCCAAGACCACACACCTCCCCCAAGACCCCACACCTCCCCCAAGACCACACACCTCCCCCAAGACCCCACACCTCCCCCAAGACCACACACCTCCCCCAAGACCACACACCTCCCCCAAGACCACACACCTCCCCCAAGACCACACACCTCCCCCAAGACCACACACCTCCCCAAGACCACACACCTCCCCCAAGACCACACACCTCCCCCAAGACCACACACCTCCCCCAAGACCACACACCTCCCCCAAGACCACACACCTCCCCCAAGACCACACACCTCCCCCAAGACCACACACCTTCCCCAAGACCACACACCTCCCCCAAGACCACACACCTCCCCAAGACCACACACCTTCCCTAAGACCACACACCTCCCCAAGACTACACACCTCCCCAAGACCACACACCTCCCCCAAGACCCCACACCTCCCCAAGACCACACACCTTCCCCAAGACCACACACCTCCCCAAGACCACACACCTCCCCAAGACCACACACCTTCCCCAAGACCCCACACCTCCCCAAGACCACACACCTTCCCCAAGACCACACACCTCCCCAAGACCACACACCTTCCCCAAGACCACACACCTCCTCAAGACCACACACCTCCCCCAAGACCACACACCTCCCCCAAGACCACACACCTCCTCAAGACTACACACCTCCCCAAGACCACACACCTTCCCCAAGACCACACACCTCCCCCAAGACCACACACCTCCCCAAGACCACACACCTCCCCCAAGACCACACACCTCCTCAAGACTACACACCTCCCCAAGACCACACACCTTCCCCAAGACCACACACCTCCCCCAAGACCACACACCTCCCCCAAGACCACACACCTTCCCCAAGACCACACACCTCCTCAAGACTACACACCTCCCCAAGACCACACACCTTCCCCAAGACTACAAACACCCTTTCTCAAGCACTTTCCTAACCCCCATCTTCTTAAATCAATACCCCCCCCCCCTAACCCTCTCCTTAATGATACAATTATGCAGAGAGAGAAAACTGGAAAATTGCTCTGATAAGAGATCAGTGTAATAGGTCTCGTTATGCCTCTCGTCCTGTACAATACACTAACAATACCACTTCTTTATATCCGGCTCCATTATCTTATTATGCAGTTAGAGGATTTGTAAGATTTGAATCCTCGGTCAAGTATTAGTGCTCGGAGTTCTGCTTCGAAATGCGGACTTGCGATTTCACATTTTTTCCACGCGAAAAAGAAAACTTTTCATGACGGTAAATTTAATTATTTACTTCTTTGTTTGTCGTCAGTTGTGTTACGAGAACATGGCTACACCCACAGTCTGAGGTGATGACTGATGGTCAGTTGTGTTACGAGAACATGGCTACACCCACAGTCTGAGGTGATGACTGATGGTGATTGAGCCTCCCAAGAGGTGCACGGGCATGAATAGCCCGTAAGAGTCTTGATCGTTGTTGCTGTTGTTGTAGATTCAGCTACTCTGAACAAAAAGGTCCAAGTAGCACGGCCTATGGTGAGCCCGTAGTGGACTTACCTGGCACAGGAGCGGGTCAAGTAGCACGGGCTATGGTGAGCCCGTAGTGGACTTACCTGGCACAGAAGCGGGTTAAGTAGCACGGGCTATGGTGATCCCGGAGTGGACTTACCTGGCACAGAAGCGGGTCAAGTAGCACGGGCTATGGTGATCCCGTAATGGACTTACCTGGCACAGGAGCGGGCTAAGTAGCACGGGCTATGGTGAGCCCGTAAGTGGAGGCTTTTTGGCGCCATCATCAGTATCAACAACTGATACTGGAGATGTGGGGATGGGGTCCGTGGTCGCGCCAGTCCACTCAAAGACCATAAGACTGGTCACACCGGTGAACTGATGGTGTACACGTCGCTCACAGCTGAGTGCTACAGGAGTCAGCAGCAGGGCTGTCGGCGGGCTGGCCGCTCTAGGGGCAGATGTCTGCTTGTTACAGGAGGATTAGTTTCCTAATCCCAGTTTTTTTTCCGGCACTCTGATGGTAATCTTGGGTATAGTATTTTATCTAATCACCTCATTCTTTTTGGGGCACACGTGAGGATCACAGATGCGAACAAGCCTGAATGGTCCCCAGTTGCAAAGTGCTCCTGGCAGTGTGGGTTCGAGTCACTTCTGGGGTGTGAGTTTTCAGTTACATATATATCCTTGGGAACCATTCAGGCTTGTTCGCATTTGTGTTGTTCATGTGGCCCCACAAACTGAGGTGTTTCGATGAAATATCTCTGCCCAAGCTTACTAAGTGGTGTCGGTGGTACGAGGTATCATACGCACCGAGGTATCATGGTATCATGCGTGGTATCATACACACCAGGATGTGTACACTTCTGGGTGCGCATGTCCCTCCCCGGGGAGGTGTTTGGCCACGGAGGAGTTAGTGGTGTGGCAATACTGATTGTTTTAGGTGACGTTCTTGATGGTGATAACAGGAGTAGTGAGTAATGTTAGCGGTGGTGATGGTGGTGGTGGTGGTGGTGGTGGTGGTGGTGGTGGTGGTGGTGGTGGTGGTGGTGATGGTGGTGGTGGTGGTGGTGGTGGTGGTGGTGGTGATGGTGGTGGTGGTGGTGGTGGTGGTGGTGGTGGTGGTGGTGGTGGTGGTGGTTGTGGTGGTGGTGGTTGTGGTGGTGGTGGTGGTGGTGGTGGTGGTGGTGGTGGTTGTGGTGGTGGTGGTTGTGGTGGTGGTGGTGGTGGTGGTGGTGGTGATGGTGGTGGTGATGGTGGTGGTGCAGACGAGGAGTCACAATAACGTGGCTGAAATATGTGGACCAAACCAGACACTAGAAAGTGTAGGGATGACGACATGTCTACCAGCTTCCTTGTCTACCAGCTTCCTTGTCTACCAGCTTCCTTGTCTACCAGCTTCCTTGTCTACCAGCTTCCTTGTCTACCAGCTTCCTTGTCTACCAGCTTCATGATGAACTTAGTCTACCTCAGCTTCTTCATGGTAACTTTATTTGTTGATATTGAAATTATCATATTATGCTTGTTTTTATATAATAATGCTTTCTCTGTATTTGTCTTTACCATATTTCTTGATTTTTGTCCACAATTTAAAAGCGCCTTGATTTATTGAGCAGCGTGAAGGAGTCATTAATATTTTTGTAAGGCAGACAGTAAGTGCTTTTCAAATCACATGATATCCTTGAACATATAATTAAATACATATATATTAATTAATTAAAGATAAATAAATACATAATAATTAAATATAAATACAAATGGTGGAAGTAAACACTTTCCTATAGTATTTAATGCTGGGATTAAAGCCTATTAATCACTGGCGGGTTATTAAGGCCGAATCTCTGTAGCGTTCTGATCAACCAGCAAGAATATATTTATCCTGAATATACTACAGTAATCTCTTTGTGTATATATATATATATATATATATATATATATATATATATATATATATATATATATATATATATATATATATACACCAAGAAATGGTGTGTATAACTATACTCTATATACAGTTCACCAATTACTTCGTATGTGTGTATATTAACCTGATAGTTATACGATTTCTGGAGTCTTGATAGGCTGTTGACTAATGTTAGTAGTTGTTGGATACTTTATGATAAATGTTATCTAGGAAAAATAATAATCTTATTATCATTACTATCACTCAAGCAGAGGCAAAACTCGTGAGTATGTTGGTCAGGGATTGTTTATAGGTGTTCCTGCTAGCCTAGCTGCGTTGGTCAGGGACTGATAGTAAGTGTTCCTGCTAGCCTAGCTGAGTTGGTCAGAGACTGATAGTAAGTGTTCCTGCTAGCCTAGCTGCGTTGGTCAGGGACTGATAGTAAGTGTTCCTGCTA